CTCCCGCATCACCCTCACTGGGTACCAAAAGATGTCACGGGATCCCCGCCACCCCTGGCCCAGAGGGGTCAGACGGACCATGAACCCGATCCACCTGCCCTAGGTCACGCGCTCCCCCAGCCCCCACCCCGAGGGTGCCGCAGCGCGCTCCCCCGCCCATTCTCCGCATCCCCCCATCCCCCCCTTCCCAGGCTGCCTCGCTCGGTGACGTCAGCGCCCGGTCCCCGTTGCCGCTGCATCCTCGGCGACGCGCCCAGGACCCCGCGCCCGAGGCCATGGCGACCGCCGCGCTGCTGCCGCTGCTGCCGCTGCTGCTGCCGCCGCCTACTGCCCCCACACCCCTGGCCCGCGACCCCTTTGCCCCGCAGCTCGGGGACACGCAGAGCTGCCAGCTGCGGTGCCGCGACCGGGACCGCGACCCGGGCCTTCGACCCTCGCAGGTGCTACGCATGAGGCGCCGGCCTGGGGACCCCGGTTCCTCTGAGGCGGGTGTAGACCAGGTCTTTGCTCTGAGGAAGGGGTCAGGGATGACGTTTCTCCCATGGGGGCGAATGTGGGGATCCAGGGTCCCTCGGATGAGGTCTAGGCTTGGGAAGGGGGCAGGGCGGGGCGGATATAGGGGCCCTCCCACGGTGTCGACGGTTGGGGTCGCCCCACGGGGGCGTGAGGGATGGGAATCGCAGATGGTGAAGAATTTTAGGGTCAGTGGGTCCCTCCCATGAGGTCTGGCCACAGTTGATGGTCCCTACGGTGGGGGAGGGGCAGGGGGTTAGAGTCATTTCCTTGGGAGCAGGCTGAGGGTGCTGGCAGAGAGGGTGAGGGGGAGATGGAGGCGCCAGCTGCCCGGGACTAGCTACTGCGCAAGGACCCTCTGCGCACCCCTCCTCCTCCTCTGCCCCAGCTGCATCCACTTCCCCCAGTGTCTCCCCAGCTACTAGCCCCTACTCATCTCATCCCTTTCCCCGAAAGGTGACGAGACCTCCTCCCTGGAGCTCCCGTCCTTTTCCTCCCGAGACCCTAAAAAAGCAAACACAACCCTCTCTTGAGGGTTTTCTCAACTGTAAATCCTTGAGGGAGTAGGTTCCTTTCTCACAGTGGCAGATGAACTTGAACTGCTGACCTTGTACTTAGGAGCCTAGCTTAGAACCCACTATGCCACCAGGGCTCCTGTCTGTTGGTCTTAGCGTATTTCTGTTCATCCTTCCGAAACCGAGTACCCAGTCTGTCCTCCAGCTCATTCACATCTTCCCTTCATAGTGCACATCCTCCCCAAGCGCAGCCCAGATCTTCCATTTTCCGCGGACCTTCTCTCTCTGACTCCTCCCCCTAAGTTCTGTGGCTCCCCTCCTCCATGCACTTCACCCCTCCCCGTGGCCTAAGCCTTCCCCCCACCCCACCTCAGGCAGGGCCTGAGAGCCCCTCGGAGTCTCCCTACGACAGGGCAGTCCTAGTCAGCGCCTGCGAGCGGGGCTGCCGCCTCTTTTCCATCTGCCGCTTCGTGGCCCGGAGCTCCAAGCCCAACGCCACCCAGGCTGAGTGTGAAGCAGGTGAGGGCTGGCAGGGTGTGGTGGGAGGGCCAGAGGACCTGCAAGAGGTGTGTTCCCCCCAACTGCCCCTCTCCCACCCACAGCATGTGTGGAGGCCTACGTGAAGGAACCAGAGCAGCAGGCCTGCAGCGAGGGGTGCTGGAGCCAGCCGCCAGAGCCGGAGCCCGAGCCCGAGCGAAAGGTGGGTGCCCCCATTTACCCCTTCACCCCCCCTGTCCCGGGCCCTCCCCTGCCCCACTTCCTTTATCCAGAGTGTCTTAGGCTGCTGGGTGACCCCCTTAAGTGAGGCCACCTCTCCAGTCTCAGGTGTCACCTCTGTGACATGGGAAGAGCCTTTGCTATCACTCCTCCCTAGCACCTCGCTATAGAAGTAAGTGGCTTTTCAAGGTCTGCGTGGAGCCTGTCCCCAAATGCTCCATTCACCAGAGACATTGGGTATGTGTTGTCCTGAGAGCAGTGACTTGGGGTCATGAGGCTGGGGTCAGACAGAGGCAGGACTTGAACTCAGGGTGGCCTAGTTAGCACCCAACCTTGGGCTTGCTCTCTTCAGCATCGTCAGAGCTGACTTTATGAGCACCTGTTGTGACTTAGACAGGAGCCCCGGTGGCACGGTGGTTACCAGTTGGGCTGTGATCCTCAACGTCAGAAGTTCAAAACCATCAGCAGCTCTCAAGAGAAGGAGGGGGCTTTCTACTCCTATAAAGAACTACAGCCTCGGCAGTTCACCGGGGAAGTTCTAATTTGTCCTATAGGGTCGCTGTGAGAATGGACTCGATGCAATGCGTTTGCACTGCCTGAGGGCGCTTCCTGATGACTGGTGGCCATGGGCATTTGATTTGCAGGGAGCAGCCTCCCAAATTCTCCCTCTCCAGCTCTGGGGGAAAACAGTAAATGCCCACCTGTTGCCATCTATGTTTGAGTCTAGGATGCATCCAAGGACAAGCTCCCCGCTTTACAGACCAGCAACCCGAAACTCAGAAAGCCACTGGGTGCAACCAGAGACCCACAGACTGCTCAGCAAGCCCCGCTCCCTGTATCTGTGATGGCTGGGTAGAATCTAATAGCAGCAGCTACTGTGCATTAAGCACGTGTGCTTCGCCAGGCTCCTGGCAAACATTGCCTGGCTGTAGTCTCATCGTGGCCCCAAGAGGGGAGAGAAACATTCCCATCTGAGGGCTCAGAGAGGGCAATCCATTTCTTCAAGGGAAAGCAGCAAGCTGAAAGCAATGCCAAAGCTTGTGTTCCTTATATGATGCTCTGTTCCCCCAAACCACTTAGCCACACCTGAGATGACCATGACTTCTCACAGCCACTCCCCCTTTTTACCTGATGATTGGTTAAAAGCCTACCTTGGTGACGCTTCCATGCTTTGGGCCTTCCCGTTGCTAGAGAAAGGTCCTGGAAGCTCCGAGTGGGACCCTCTCGCTCCTGGACCTGTTCTCCACCCTCTGCAATGACTTTGTCAACTCGGCCCAGGGCTTGGTGTCTTCCACCTGGACATACTACCTGCAGACAGACAACGGGAAGGTGGTGGTGTTCCAGGTGAGGGCTCTAGAGGGGGTACCCCAGAGCAAGAGGTGATCTGGGGAGGAAGGGGTGATGCATTGTCTCCTGCCTCCTGGAATGCACAGGCCATGGCTGAGCTAGCTTCAGGCATAGCTTGACCCAGATGCTCAGGATCCACCCCTCTCCTGGGCCCTGCTTTTCCTTGTGGAAGCGTCATTCCCGGGATGGATGCCCTAGACACCAGATGGCAACCCTCTGGGGGCAGGCAACTGGGCTGGGCTTATCCAGATTGGCCCTAGCCAGGTTTGTGGGCACCTTTCAGCCCATCCCTGTGGTACTGTTGTCTCGGCTACTTCTGGAACTGGGAGGTGAAGGTGCCCACAGCAACCTGCAGGGCCATTCCGGCCCAGACATCTCAGCCCAGCCCTGTAGGAGGGTGTCCTGCCTCCCTGCCAGCAGAGCCAGCTGATAGCTGGTGTGGGCCCTTGTGACCCAGGGAGGCTTGTAAGGGTCCCCATGGGGACCAAAATGCCGTCCTTCCCCTGGGCCTCCTGCTCTCTTGTCCCTGGCTCAGACACAGCCGGTGGTGGAGAGCCCCGTGCCCGAGGGGGCACATCTGCAGCGAGTGGAAGTGACGTGGCGTGGATCCCACCCTGAGGCCCTGGAGGTGCATGTGGGTAAGGTCTGGCTCAGCAGGGTTTCTCCCGGGGGTCCCACTGCCCTAGGAGTCCTCTTCGCCAACCAAGACATTAGGCCTGGGCTCTCCAAGTCTCAACTCCTGGGGTGACACCTTCCACCTCCCAGAGTTCTGCGGTTCAATTCCTGGTATTTCATGGCCCATCATTCCCCAGGGTTCCATCATCCATCTCCTAGGGCCCTAAGGCCTGCTTCCCAGGCTTCTGACCTCCATGCCTCTGGACTTAGGACCCACTTTCCCTGAGCCCTGGCCCGCTTTCTTCACTGCATGGCTGGCAAGGCCTCCCAGGGGCAGCCTGGAAGCCGCGGAGCAGTGATTACTGTCCTTCAGACCCGGTAGGCCCCTTGGACAAGGTGAAGAAGGCCAAGATCCGAGTAAGGACCAGCAGCAAAGTCAAGGTGGAATCTGAAGAGGCCCAGGACAACGACTTCCTCAGCTGCATGTCCCGGTGGGTGGCATGACCCTAGTGGAAGGCTGGGAGGGGGACTGGCCGGGGTGGGGATGGCTCTGGCCAGGGCCACTTAGCAGTGCCTGTGGGCCGGGCAGGCGCTCGGGGCTCCCCAGGTGGATCCTGGCCTGCTGCCTCTTCCTGTCTGTGCTGGCGATGCTGTGGCTAAGCTGCTCCACCCTGGTGACCGCACCTGGCCAGCACCTCAAGTTCCAGGTGGGTGGGGCCTTATGTTGGGGGGGGGGGCAATAACTGCTCCTTTCACCCAGAGTCCCCTGGGTTGTCCAATCTCCCATTGGAGTGGCAGGGGGTCAAGGGTGGGAAGGGGCCTGGTCAGGGTAAGGGGAGGCTCTCCACAGGCCCCCTCATTGCATCCCCTTCTGCAGCCTCTGACCTTGGAGCAGCACAAGGGCTTTCTGATTGAGCCAGAGTGGGCCCTGTACCCGCAGTCGTCGCACCCCTGTGAGGACAGCCCTCCACCTTACCAGCTGAAGCTGGACCTCACCAAGCTGTAGGCCCCTGGCCCTGACCCTGGCTGATTGACGGAGCTCCTTGGGATAGGGGTGGGGGTGGGGCTTCTTGGGTGGGGCTTGCCCTGAGTCCCAGACTGCTGTGGATGGGGCTGCCCTTGTTCTCTCCCCTAAATCCTTTTGCTCGCCTCATCCTGCCCCTCCTTTGGGGGCCTGGGAGATGGGCCACTGGATCCCACCTTGGCTCCTCCTCCCATTCCCCCCCTCTACACCCAGTGCTACTTTTTGTCTTCTGTCTTGTGGCTTCCTGAGAATTTGAACCCAGTCCTGTGTCACCTCCTCCTTCCCTCCCTGCCTCCCTCCCTCGCCCCTCTCAGGGGGTGCGGAGGACCTGGGAGTTGCCTCTCTCCAGCGAGGGGCTGCCTCCTGCTTTCCTGCCTGGCCTCCTGGGATTGCAGCCCACCCCAGAGGGTGTGGCTGGGCCTGCTGCATGGGGCATGGGGAGGAATAAACAGTGTATATAAAATGTGTCTGCATCTGAGCCTGTTCTGTCTGTCCCTCTGGCTGTCTCTGGATGGAGGGGGGCTGGTAGGAACATGGCCATGGATAGCCCTGGCCTGCTGGGGCCCCACCAACTTAGGGGAAGCCTCTGGAACTGCCTGCTGGGAGTGAGCCAGCTGCCTCCTGGGAGGACACCTCTCTGCTGCTAAGTCACATCATACTTTCAATAACGGGGTGGCCCTGGAAAAGGGGCTCATGCTTCTAACTGGGCCTCAGTGTCCCCATCCTGTGACATAGGCACATTGGGTCTTCCACTGAATGCCTCAGCCCTGCCAATGGGCTCTATTGCCATCCCAGCATCCTTCCTGGCCTCCCTCCCCGGCTTTGGAGAGGAGTCCTGTACTTGGACCATCCTTCCTGTCTAGTCTGCAGCCTCCCTGGGGCCCTTCCAACAAACCCTCTCTTAGCTGACCTTGACCGGAATTGTTCTCTGTTGCTGGACACCAGAGGCTCCTGGCTGGTTCAGATCTCATTTTCAGGGGGGGGATTTGGGGTTCGGGGCATGATGGTCCCAACCCACAGGGCCTGGGGTGAGGGTTCCCAGGGCTTCAGACCGATGGAGGCCTGTGGGGACAGGGGACGGCTCTCCATCCTTTCCTCTGCCCTTGTCCTCCCAGTGCTGCCAGGAAGGGGCTGGCTGTGGGAGAAGTGAGTGCTTCTCTCCCTGTCTTCTCTCGACACCTTATCTCAACAGCCTTGGCTCCACCTCTGCATGGCCAGCCCGGCCTGGGTGAAAGTCATGTCTTGAATTTCTGTATGCTCGCTCACGGCCACCCAATCAATTATGGCTTATACC